GGGTCTGGTAGATGCCCATGGGCACCACACTCTACTGAAAGCCATCCTATGCCATGTTATCTCTGCTGGGGTTGCTGAGACCACAGGCACTACCAGTGAGGAAGATCTTTACTTCATCCTCACCACCCTGCTTTTATTATTTCTTTCTTCAGTCTAATCACTAGGCTCCACTATGGAGCAAATTTTTGTGCAGGAAGAGCTCAGAAGACTTTTGCTTTCCCACCCAATAACAAAAATCCTTCTCACAAAAGTTTTTACCTCAAGTCTCTGGTGATGAAGGAAATAAGATGGTAGGAAAGGAAATCAAACAATGGTCACAAGACCATTCTTTCCAGCAGGATTGTAAGGTTGTTGTCTCAACACCACATAAAGTCAAAGGAAAAATATATCCATCATTCTGAGAAATGTTTGGATTTGGGTTTTTTTTAGTGTTAGAATTAGAGAAATCAGTCACAGTTTCCAGACAAGGAGGTACTGCAAACCTCTATCCTAGGCGCAGAGAGAAATTATGGTATCACAGTGGGTGGTAACTGCTGGCAATCATCAACTGCTTTTGATGGCAAACACTGTTGGATTGAGCATGTAACAAAACAGCTCCCACCAGCACTGGCTTCAGGGTGAGAGGAAGGAACAGTGGACCCTCTTTCAAAAACTCAGGATACGTTCAATAATGAGGGCTCTAAAGATGTACTTGGGAAACAAAAATACCACACTGGTCTCTGTAGGTTTTGCCTTGGGACTAGGAGCAGCAATCACAGCTGGGGAGGCTGAGTCTCAGATAAGCCGGACTTAGGAGTGGAGGCTCAGGGGGAAAAAAAGGGAGGAAATTGAATAAAACCTGTAATGCTCCACAAAATAATGTTAAAAATAGAAAGATGTCTGAAAACAGCTTAATGCCCTTATCTCCTTGACTCTGGTTCCAGCTTTGGTTACTGTTTTCACTCCTAGCCAGCAAAAGCTAATGAAAACAAAGGTTACATACATCTTTAAGTTGATAAAAACCAAGATAAACAGGGACACAGAAAGGGGTTTGTTCCTGGTGCTGTCTGGTTTTGATGAAGTGAAAATGCCACAGCTGCCATTAGGATGGGGCTTGATTCATTTCCCTGCCTCTGCTCCTGGTTTTAGTGTAAACACATGTTTTTACTGTCTTCACACAGCTGCATCTTTATCAATCCCAGATGTCCAGCAGGTTTGTGCCTTCAGAGCACAACAGAGCTTCCCACATGTGCTTTTAATTCCTGTGATTCTAGAGAAAGGACTTATCAGAGAACAGATCTTTACCTTTAAGAACAATCTTTCACACTGGGATAAACTTTCTCATGTTAAAATGTATGCACAGACAAACAACATGCTTTCCATGTGGCTGGAGATATCCCTCCATGCCCCTGCTCCTCATTAATGCAGGTTATTCAATCTTTCCTCCACTCAGCTCATCTTCCCTGCTTTCTTGACCTGGCCGCTCTGTAATCATTTCTATAACAACTTATGATGATGTAACAGACAAAGCATAATGATTTAAGAATAAGAACTCTTCTCTGGTAAACTTAGGTAGAATTTGAGTATAATTATCATCAGTAATAATAAGGGAAACAGGAAATTAGAGAGCAAGAATCAGAATAGCTAGATAGTAAGAAGATCAATTTACAATGCAGACCCCACAGCTCATCTTCTGAGGGTCAAACCTTTAAATCTATGTAGGCATCTAAACATACAGACAGAACCCTACTGGGAGTTCATTTTTGGGCTCCTTTAGTATCTTGTTTGTACCTGCCTAGACCTTCAGATGGCCAAATGCTTTTTAGAATCTGGTCCTAAAGCCTTGTCTGGCTAATCACTTCTAGACATAAGATGTTTGCTAATTCCCTTGGGAGATTTCTAGACTAAATTTTCAAATCTCAGCTATCCTAAATATTTCCACCCCTCCTCCATGGTACTTGAAAGGGCTTTCTCATTTAGTTCTTAGTCTGTTCTTGAATTGACCCTGTTGGTAGAATAAGATTGAATTGGGCAATGGTGTACTTTTACTATGCAGGTGCCCTTAGAGGTAACAGTTTCTCAAATACCTGTCCTCATTTCAGCTACTAAATTGCATTGTTGGTATTCTGTCTTGCCCAGGTATTAGGTTAATTCTAGAATTTCAGTAATGTTTTCTCTGTCTTTGCTGATGTTTTTAACACTTTCCCATTTCCATGTCCAGCTATCAGCACTGCACACTTGGCATCACACTGTGTTTAGTCAGCCAGCCCCCTTCTCAAAGCTCCCTCTCTGGCTTTATGTCTCAGATGTTGCACTTACGGATTACTTCAACTTTGTATGTTGCATTGATTTCTCCAACTTTGTTAAACACTCGGCAGGTATATTTCCCGCTATCCTCTGGCTTCAGGTTCTTCAGGTTCAATGTCCACTTCTTCTTCTTATTCTCCCCAATCTCTTGGGCTGTGAGTGGCTTATTGTCCTTCAGCCACATGATGTCAGGTCTCGGGTTCCCACTGGCCACGCACTTCAGGCGGATGGAGCTGCCGACAGGACGAGCGATCACTCTCCGTCTCATCTTGGCAGGCTGCGTGAACCTGGGCCGGGCTGCAAAAGGCATGAAAAATAGACTGTGGTGAACAAAGGACATGCAAAGAAGAATATTGCTATCAAGTATTATGGACAAATTTGCTTGACAGGCACCTGGCAGCCCCATGCATACCAAGATATCACTCTCCCTCATATCAGCTCAAACTGATTTCCTTAGAAAGAAGACGCCATTCAGCCTGATGCATTTGAATGTCTACTGGAGTCTTACGGACACGGCATTAGCCTTCTGCATAGCACAACCCCATAATTTCTGTGTCTGTAAGGCAACTGCATTAGACCATCTCACAAAATAATATCAAAATCACCCTATTGCAGCTGAAGGCAAAATGAGGCCCCATAATCACATTATAATTGTTACCATATTCCATGCCACAAATGCGAGTCCTCAGCCAAGACCAAAGGAAGAAGCTCAGATTCCTGTCAGGCTGACCATTTTCTCAATTTTTTGCTTGTCACTTGAAGCTTCATTTTCTGAAGATGTTTTGTCCCTTACATCTCACTGGCTTTAAGGGGCCTTAAGAAGAGCCAACATCTTTTCAATACATGTAAAAGTCCTAAAAGTGTGCCAGGCTTTTGTTCATTGATCTGAACTTAAATGTATGTGATTCACTCGACTTCAGTTTACAAAGCATTCATATTGAAGGGCCCAAAGAAGCAAACAATGACATGGAAAGACACAATAACACCCCCTTGAGTTAGTTATTAGAAGATACCCCATACCAATTCATCCCAAAAACGGAGAATCTGAAGCAATAGCTGCTGGTGGACAGAATCATAAGTTAAGCTAGTCACCTTGTCTTAGCAAAGAAATCACCAATATTTCTAACAGCAGTGACAAGAGTACTAGAGAAGTGCAAGGTCCCCACTTGGCAAAATCTGAAACTTAACGAGTAATTCAAAAGAAATAACAAATTTCTCACAGTCACTTTAGCTACAAAATGCCAGTCTAGGGGCTCTTCTAACGTCAGGCTCCTGCTGAGATTAACACCACTTCTGACTCCCACTTGACAATCTCCCTTGCATCCAAAATACTCCTGCCATATTTGCCTGTCTTCATTTTTTTTCCTTTTGGCAAAGCTTGTTTCTCCTTCAAGACCATTCAGCATGTTCACAACAGGTTTCTACCCTTGCTTTTGAAACCTACTTCTTGCTTACCATGATCTTATTCTTCAGCCCCAAAGGGCAGCCACCCTACATTTTTTCATCCCTCTGGTAAATCTTCCCTGATCATTTCTTGGGAAATGAGATAAACAGGCAATGTTTGGCCAGATTTGCGGCATGTGAGGATGAATCATGCTTATCATAGAAGCATTACAGTTGGAAAAGTCCTCTAAGGTCATTGGGTTGAATCATTAATCTAACACTGCCAGGTCCATCACTAAACCATGCCCCTAATACCACATCTACACATTTTCTGAACACTTCCATTTCCCAGCCACAAGCCTTCACTAAAGGCAATTGGAAAGCCACAATCGCAGAAGCATGTAACACACCAAAGCAAGCTGAGCAACTTGTGCTTCAGGTATCAGGGAAGTTAGCTACAGGATTGCATGGTGAGACTCTCTATTAGATAGCCAGCCCTGCTGCCCAGGGCTGTCAGAAGCTCTGGGATGTGCATCATAGTGGAGCTTTCCTGAATGCAGGAGGCTGGTCTGCAGCTTCTTATCTCCAAGCACTATGGAATGGTAGCCTTTGCCCCCTGAGGTTTGTGAACATAACCCTTAGTCCTCACCCCCCTGCAGCCTTGGCCAACATCCCTCCCTCTTGGAAGAAGACACCTCAGACATACCCCTCTCTGCAGACTCCTTTTCCACAGGGGAAACCATCTGCCTCCAAAGCCTTCCCTTGCCTGTCTTGGCTGTCATTTTGGGCCCCAGCCATTTCATGCTATTTCAAACTCTTGCTCAGAAATGCTTTACTCTCCATACAGAGGCTTTCATGTGTAATCCAATGAACTGGAGTAACTCTGGCACTGAAAGTCCTTGCTGTGACAGCTGAACAGCAAGTGTGACATACTAACCCACTCCACAGGTCATGGTGCCTAAATTGCTGGGTGTTTCTTTGAGATCTGCTACAGGAGGAGGCTCCCTCCCAGCAAAAGCAATCACCCTCCCAGACAGACAATGAACCCTGTCAGAGCTGTATGCTGTAGGCAATGACATTGCGAAGTTAGAGTCTGAGCTGAGGGAGAAGTGCTGATAAGGGCTGTCATTGTGGAAATTGAGTAAATGTCTGCAAAGCACATGGAGAGGTCAGGAATCAACCGTGAAATGAGTCTAAACTGTTATCCTCTAATATGGCAGTAATTTACTCCAAGACCAGGAACTTCAGATCCAAGTAGGGAGAGATCCTCATGGATGGTATTCCTGGTCTGGGACTAACATATCGAAGAGCAGGTTGGAGCCAGGACAGTCACACTGCCCCCACAAACTGAAGAGTCAAGTGAGTGACTCTGAGCTCTCACCTTTCCTTCCTCTTTCCCATTTCCCCAGCAATATTTCAGAAGGATTTCACAGTGACCCTGCTCAGTAAGGGCACTGCAATACAGAAACTCTCTTTACACCCAAAAAAAAGTAGGGTTTTAACATTTCTGTTCTTCCTCCCACTGTGACTCCCACAGATCTGTCACGAGTTTAGCATTCAGTCCTTGTACATGGTTGCTCAGATACATTCCAAGCTACAGGTAAAGCTACACTTATTTGGCTCTTTCTCCCTTTCTTTCTTCTGTTAAAAAAGGTTAAGTGATTATGTGGTCTCAAAAGCTACTCCAGGCTGTGTGCAATATGCTGAAACTAGATCCCATTTACACAGCACTGAATGTTTCCTTGACAAAAGCTGAATTGGACAAGTTTAGAAGAGCCAGTTAGCAAAAAAGGAGAGGAAAAACACATACACAAAAAAGAGACTCAGCAAGCACAAAGGAGAAAGAGGAGAAGCAGCAGTGTGAGAAAGAGGAAGAAAAAGTCTCTTTTGAGTTGATGCTAGTAAATGTCCGTCCCCAAATCTGTACGATTTACAGAAGTTTTGCTTGTTGGAGTGCCAGCAAAGGCCATTACAAAGTGCCTCTGTGTTATTTATACTTCACATGCTTGTTCTCCTCCACATCACTTGGCGTTTGCTTCATAAACATGAACCACACATTTGTACAGTATAAATTATGCCACACACAAGAGCAAGGGAAAACGCAAGTGGATGGGGACAAAGAGACAGTGTTGTGTATGGGTTCCTGGCTGAAATGCTGTTTACCATAAAGATTTATTCAAGCTAATGAAAATTAAATGAAATAGAAGCCTGTCGGCACAAAGACCTGGGAAGGAATTCAGCAGTCTCCTCTCCCTGTGGGACACCTCGAGGGGCATGGACCAGCCCCAGAGGCTCCTGTCAGATGTTTGCTCATACAAAGTGAAGTGATTAGCTAAAACATGTCTGCTGCAATTCACCACAATTACCTCCATGTAGTGACAGTCACTACCAATTCCACCTTTCCTGATACTTACCAAAAAATTGTCATGATACAACTAAGTATTGAAGTACTTTCAAATGCTTTGGATAAGAGCTCAGCCAGTTGTGGGAAGATGTGGATGGAGGTGTCTATCTTTTCCCACATCAGTTCCCTGCTCTTGATGGGGGCAGGACCTCTCCCCAGAGACATCACTCTGTGAGAGCAGAGAGAAAGCAAAGTGGAGAGGTTTTTTTACCTTCTCCTCTCACACTTCTCCAGGGCCCAGGAGTAAGACAACACACACTGCTTCTTCACCCATCATCCTCCAGAGACCTGCAGACACACATTGACCCTCCCTGCACTTCAGCACACACCAACAATTTTCTGGCAAACACTGCCGGAAAGAAAGAGCTTTGGTTGGTGTGTGGCTTGCCCAGGGTGTTTCCCTGCTTGGGGAGAGGAGACAGGACAGAAGGAAAGGGGAAAAAGCAGAGGTTCAGAAACACTCTGGGGCACAAAGAAGGACTGGGCCAGGGCAGCACAGAGGAAGATACAATCTGATTCATATGAGATTGTCAGTGCCTAATAATTTTAGTAGTGCTTACATCTTTTTTTCATAATATTGTTGTATTGATCTGTCTTCCAGCAGCTGCACCAGGAGCACATCTGCCATGTGTGCTCCTGTCTCCACCAGTGTAATGAAGAGTGGAGAGATGGCAGTTTTTCCTGCTAGCTACTGAATCCCTCTTGAAGGACTGACCTGCATTATATCTAAGACACCTTTTCTCTAGCCCTAAAATGTTGCCATCCTTTTTGGGAATAAGTGGAGGTTACCAGTCTCAGATAAATCTGTAATTCAGGTGCAGCCTGGACTACTCCACAGCACACCACATCCCTTGTTTGCCAGCTCCTGAAGAAAACTGGCCTCAGCTTTAGTGGTGGGGGACTCATACAGTGAAAGTTTGTTGGGTTCCACCCCTACCACTGCTAGGAGATTTCTCCCTGGCCACAAATGTGGTACAAAGCCATCTCTGTATTATAAAATTAAAGAGAAGGATGTGCTTCATGAGAAAAATGGAAATAATGTGCTTCATTCCTCGAGCTCATAAACTCACATCGCACTCCTCTCAGTAATGGCCAAAATCCGTTTGGCATCAGCCTGACAACTTATTGTCCTTCAAGGAGTGGCTGGACGAAACTTTGGACCTGCATGTCTTGTGGTGATTCAGAAACTGTTCCAAATGAGATTTTAGCAGTTCCCCAAAGCTCTGCAACAGCATCAAAATCTTATGCTTAAACAGTCCAGGGCTTAGAGAATTTCAGGCAGGTGCCTAAAAAAGAGGGTGATTTTAGAGCATACTCAAACTGTCCTTGTGCTAATTCTAATGAAGTGAAGTCAGACCTCCCATTTGCCCTCAGTGGGAGCAGTGTTATGTTGGCACTGAAGACTTTTGGAAATATTGCTGTAAATGTCAATATGGTTTTTATAGGGAGTCTATGAAAGCTCTAATAGCTGCATATGCAAAAGAAAGTCACTGCCCAGAAAAACAAATACAAAGGAGAACCATGCCGGGGTATATGGCAGGCAGCCCTAGGGCTGACCACAGGCTGCATTTCACAGAAGGACCCTTGGATGCAATCCATTCACACCAACATGTTCAGCTGACACTCTGTTTATTATTTGACCATATGTAGGGAGAACTCACTCCAGTCGCTCTGCCTTTCCTCTCCTTCAGCAACTGAGAATGTGCCACATGAATAGCACTGAACCAAGAAAACCCCAAAAACATACACTGATCCTTACCCCATTGCTTCCCAGAATGATCTTCATGTTCTCCATTAGAACCTTCAGGTACCTGGCTATCCTTTCCTGAGCTGGCATCATCTGCAAAGGAAAGGAAAGGGAAGATATTAAGAAGGTCTCCTGCAGCAGAACAGTACAACAACAAGAGTTTGTCTTTCCTCCTCGAGGCACCATGCAGCTGAAACACACTCAACATACATTAGGCATCCAGATCCTGGCACTTACACTCTGGCCAGTTTAATGAACAATTTAATTTACTGCTTTATGAGCTGTTTGGGAGGCTATCAAAGCAATGGGAGATTAATCAATGTTTCTATTAATAGCTGACAAAAGCCTTTTTCTTTATGTTTACAGGTTGCTGTTCCCTAGCAGGAGCTGATCTATTGTACCTTATATGCAAATAAAGGTGTATATAAAAATTAAAGATAATTAAACCTAGGAGGTGGGGGAAGACTTATATGATCAGTCATACAGAGCACAAGCAGTGGAATTAGGGCCACTAATTCACCTTTCAGCTTCCATACAAAATCAGAAAAACAAGTAGGTCTGAGGTCAAATGAGCTCTCAAGGGATGCTGAACGCAAAGTTATGGCTGGGGAAACCAGTATTGAACTGAAAAGCTGTTTGTGAGTATTTTATTTTAATTAAGACCACCTGTATCAACACTTAACTTTGTCCCTTATCACTCTAGTTGTCTATGCCACTACCACAGAGCAACACCAAATTCTCAGCTCTGTGGTCTGTACTGCTGGGAGACATAGAAACCACCACAAGGTGAAACCCCCATCTCTCCAGCAGCCCCCACCTCAAATTGCCACTGTGACATGGCCACCCACAGGTCTCAATAAGGGCCAAAACATATCTCAGCTTATACATGAGCATGCTTCCCTGAAAAGGTACAAAGAGCAGAACTGCTCTTTACACCTGTTTTAGAAGTTTGGTTATGCTTAAACAGTATTTAGTGTACAAACTTGTGTGTAGTTCTTTGGGTGAGAAGAATGGGTGTTTAACCCCATCCTAACCCCAGGCTCTGCTATTTTGGAAAATCATCCCATCTCTTCAGCATTGGGGCACTGTATGTCAACAGATGCTCTGTTCTCGTTTGCCACTGTCCCTTAAGCAGAGAGGCTGCAATGCCATATGGGTTTGTCCCCCCGCGACCCTGACAGATTTTTCTCTTCTCCTTTTGGTTACTTCAGCACAGTTTCCCCTGGAGCTATGTACAGCTGTCACTTTGAGGGGAAAAGAAAACTTTCTGGGCAGCAGCAGGCCCTGCTCATACTTCTGCAGCTCCCTCCAGCTGACTGCCCCTTTCCACCTCCCACTCACCCTCTGTCCATCACTGGAAACCCAGAAGGTTTCCTGGGTGCCCCAGCCAGCTCCCAGCCCAGACCATGGGGCAGCAGTGTGAAACAGGTCACACTCAGGAAACACCAATTCTCACACTGTTCTGTGAGTGCAAATGTTCTGCCCAGGCTCCCCCAAGGCTGGCCAGCAGCCTGTGTTACAGTCAGCAACTAATCTGTGCGCTGCATTTTGAAAATACATTTTTACAACCCTGGCAAACCAAATGCAGGCAACACAATTATACCCATTATATAAGATGGCTTGCATATGACAAATTGTCTTGTTTCAGTCAAAGTACCAAATTGATTATCTCTTGGCACCTGTACAATTTTTCCCATTAATATCAGTAGTGCTACAAATGAAGTCTTGGATGCTCTCTGACAGAGAACTTGGTAAATCCATTAGCACAATTAGAAAAATGTGCTGGCTAACAGAGAAGAAAGAAAAAATGTGGTCAGAGGTGCAGGATTCCTGTCCATTGTTAACTTCTGAATATCTTAAAAGTGGTTAAGATGTTTAAGTGGTGATGTTCTGTCAGTTATATCTTAATCTTGCTCTGCTTGATGTACAAAGAGCAGTATATCCTCCCTTGCCTCCTGCCTCATGTTACAGTATGTCAGCCCATGTGCACTCCTCCTGCTGACACACAAGGCCTGACTGGCAGTCTCCACACCTCTTGACATGCTGCCAAGCTTTTGATGTAAGGAAAATTGCTCTGAATCTGTTTGAGCCTTTGAAGACGCTTCTTTGGTTGTTATCCTGCCAAATCACAAATCTGTGGAGTAACCTACCAAACCCAGAACAAAACCTTTTGGGGGAAAGAGATCAGGATAACTAATACCACCATGCTGAGCCAATAATTTGGTGGAGGAGCAAGACTGAAATACATGACTGCATGCATTTAGGCATGTTGCTTTAGATACACTGGAACTTTGTTTCACGTGTGTTAAGAATGTGGTATTGTTAACAACAACAATAGCAGAAGTCTTGAGGTGGGGAAATGTCTTAAACATAGAAACTTGTGTAGAGCAAAACTGCTTCTTCCCATCCCCAGAGCTGCACACGCAGTGAAGGATGTTACAGCAGTCTCCTTTCCAGCTGCAACATGTAATGAACTGGGCTCCTACCTTTAGTGTGACTGAACAAACTCACACTTGAGTACTGTACCAAAAAGGGTTGATTCATGAGATCCAGAAATTGGATGAAACTCATTTTGGGAAGATTCCCTGAAGCCTGTGACTCTCCAGTTGAACTTCAAAGTGTGAGTGAGGCAGCAGAACAGCAAGTGATATAAGGATAAAGTGTTAACCTGTGATGTGAGTGACCCAGGGTCAGGTTCCTCTTCTGCTGTATTCAGAGGGGGATTTGAATTTCCCCTCTTGCACATTGGGTGAGTGTCTTAAGCTCTGACCTGTGGTCTCAGAGAGCCAAGAAAAAGCTTCTTATTACATAAAGTGGAACAGCACCTCAGGAGACAGATATCCCAGGAACACCCTGAGGATGGAAGACCCCTATCTAATTCAGGCATCATCGATATTTGACTTCCATCTGCCTCACTCAAAGTGACTGCATGGAAATAATCTGTCTCTCCTCAATTTTTAAGAACTTACTTAGTTTTTCAATTTTAATATCAAGTGGTTTCCTAGGGTAAGGAAACACTTTTACAGTTGTTCTAGTCCCTGTGCTAGCAAGGATGGGTATCTTTCTCTACCACAAACACCCCTTGGTGAGCCTGCTCACTCCTAGGGAGGGATCTGTGGCACTGAAAGCAAAGTAAAATTTTCAGAAAGTTCAGTGGCACCTGGTTCAGATCAAACCTGCCATCTGGAGCCTAGTTAACAGTGTTAGATCTGAAGAACTGCTGTTTATATTTCACCCTGAGCTTCACAAATGCAACTGGCTTGGCAATATTCTTATGAGACAGAAAGAGGACCTGAAAAAACAAGCCACATTCAGCTGTGTATGACCAGCATAGAAAACACTGAGTTAGTAGCAGGAATCACATGAGTGTTAGCCATATTCAAAAATGACCTAATAAGCCGATTGCTTACTCATGTTCTTGTCACCTCCCCACAGAGGGAGGCAGGTCAGGGTGATCAGTACATACAAAAAAATCAGCCTCCAGTCAAAGGGCAGCAGGGACCAGCTATGCAGCACTGTCAGCTTTGTTGCCAGCAGATTACCGCAAGAGGCAGTGCTAAGAAGGATGAACTGCTGAAGTTTCCTACAAGCTCCCTTTTCTGTGACCTATATTGGAAGGTCATCCTGTACTGGACTTGTTGGACAGTATCACAGGCTTAGGAGAGCAGCCAGTTGGAAGATGAAGTGGAAAACCTGCCTTGAAAAGCAATCACTGACTAATTTTATGTCACGATCATCTGAGGCTAAGAAAACACACACATTATTTAAGTGTCCTCACTGTACAATTTAGTTCCATGGTGTTACAAAGGATACTGGCTGGTCAAGAAACCTGAAGGGCAAGGCTCCAATATCATATCACGTCTCCGATATCATCAGACTTGAAGACATGGGACAAACACATGTAGCCCCTTCGCCTTCAAATACCACACATGGCCCTACAAGACATGGCCAGGATGGACACAGAATCATCAGCCCATTCTTCAAAAATGTCACCCCAGTGGCACCATCCCAGCTGGTCTCCAGCCACGCCTCTCTCTTGCTTCAGGATGTCATTCTAAGTTGGCTTTTAGGTCTGAGATGTCACAGGACTGGTCGTGGTGGGGCTAAAAGTGGTGGTCACGAGACTGGTTTTGTGTGAGACACATCTGACAGTATGCGGCCCTGATAACCAGTGCTGATGTCATGGGACAAATTGCCCATTCTCATCCCAGAAACCATAATGCTCTATGCGTATTGCCTGCCATGTGTCTTTTTTTGTCTATCCCTTGCCCCAAAGCAGGCTGGATTTCTTCAGAAAAGGGATTTCTGTATGTAACTCCATCAACTGACAAAGCCCTTTGAGGATCCTATGGAACCAAGAGTGCCACATCAGCGGGGTATAGTTACTGTTTATTACCATAACAGAATTGTTCCATTCCCTCTTAAAAGTTAAAACAAATGGAAAATTCTGCATAACGGTCCAGCTCTGAGAAAAACTGATGGGAAATACTCAGAGTGTTACTGAGTCAGGATCAAATTTTATTTACCCACAGACTCTCTATCAAGGCTTCCTGTTTTAGCCGAATGGGTATGACTGGTTTTCAGGCCAATACCATGTGTTGAGCATCCAACCACGAGTCAAAACAACAGCCCAATTTTTGCAGCAAAAATCTAGCTGTCATATTTCTCTATGATTCACAAAGTTGCTTTAATTTGTTATAATGCAAGGCCTGTCCCTGCTCTGACTTGATGGGACCAGCTTTGGAGTCTTTGATGTCAGAGGCCTTGAAAGCCCCATTTCACAGATGAGCCAGCTTTGCATAAATAAACAAAGTGACCTCTGAACTGGAGCCTGAGACCTGAGTACACTTCAAAGCAGTGGGGGAGGCGATGGGGGGATGACTGGGAGGTGATGGGGAATGAAGCGATCAGCATGCATCATTAAGGCAGCCCCAGCTCAACACTGCCCCAGAACAAGGGGTGTAAATAAAAGGAGGGAGGCAAGCAGGGAGGGAGTGAAATGAGGGGGAAAGTGATGTAATCCAGTCAGGCTTGAACAATTATAATGAGGCCTTCTCCCATGGATGAATGAAAAAGATCTCTCTGAACTCCAG